ATAATTCAGAATGAGGTTTAACATATTTTCTTAATGCTTATTTTTTAACATTTATATCAATAAGTAATAAGTTAAAGAAGAATCTAAAACTTAAATGTAACATAATGAATCAGTGGAAATTACATCTTATTTGGAAATAGTATATGTCCTTATCTCTTGCATCTTTGCTGCCCTCAAAAGTATAAATGCAAAACTTCAAGGTGGAGCATAATCCTTTTTTCATTTTAAGCAATTAGACACCAAAAATCATTGTTTTCAAAAACAATTCAGAATATTAACAGAAAAACTATAATTTTCACAAAATTAGATTTGAAGAAAATGCAGATTGGGATAATATTAAAGACATCTGGGAGTAGACCAGAACTAATAGGAAACATTCCACTAATTATACAAATCAAATGACCAAAAGCCAATTTAAGCTAAAGACAGATGAGGACAATGCAAAATCCGAAATCAATATAATTGGATCCACATATTATTGTTAATCTGGCAGTCAAGTCATAGTGACTGCCATCTGTTTCTCTGCTTCAGTTACTCTTTCCTGGAATTATTCAATTCACTTGTCAAATAACATTCTAGTCTTATAGTATAGTTCAAGGTCAGTACAGAAGGATCACACTAAAGTAATCCAGTAATCTGTCTGTGACTGTGTCAGGACGATCTAACCTTGTATCTAGTAGAGATTTTTTTCAGCATTAAGTCTTGTACATAGCCAAAGTTGTAAATATGCTTTTGACATTATTAAGGCTAGCATCTAAATCAACTTCATAGTCAGAGGGTCATGACACAGCAGCTTGCATTTGGAGACAATGATTCATCCAATTCTCTACCAATCAGTATAAATAAATATAGATGTGACATTGTGACATACAGTAAAACCTTTGTATATTGAACATTCTTTTGTTGAGAAAAACTCAGTATTAGTATGTGTTCACTACAGAGAGGGTAATTTATATAGAAGTCAGTAGTGTGTGCGGAGAAACATGTGTTCACTAAGACAGGTTTTACAAGACAAGTGACTAAGACAGTGATATTCCTAGGTGTTTTTATAAACAGGGTGCCAATCCCAATTTTTGGTCAAATATCTTTTGGTTGTTTTGGTCAAATATCTACAATTTCAGCTGGGTGCAAACAGATTTTCAGCGGGATGGCTTAGAATTTCCAAAATACATGTACAGTATAAGCACAGCCTCTGAGTGATAAAGACCAAATGGAAATGGGGTATAAATATAGAAAAGGTCTTGATACATGCAAGACTGATCATTTCCCAAAGCTTGCCCATTACCGCTTCTATACCATTTAATTCAATGAGAGTTCAACAGTGACATGTAAGCATGAGATATCAGTCTTATGAACAACCGCAAGAATTGGCAGAATCTGATCTGAAATTCTGAATCTATTATTTACATGGGCCGATTACCTTATTGATTAGCCATGTTAAGATAACCAGTCCTCTCTTTTAAGAAGTTTTCCTAATTTTACATAAAACTTATTAGCTATTCTCAATAAGAAGTAACTATTAGCTAAGTTAAATCATTTCAATTGTTTCCAAATTCCCATCTCGATCTAGGTTTAACTGGATATTTAGCTAGACATAAAAAGATTTTTCAAATCCTAAACTAGGTGCAGCATAGTGCAGTTTTATTGCTAGGGAGAATACTGATACTATAAAGGCAGAAAATATCAAGCAAGAGTTTCAAAACAAGTATTAGTACTAAGTACTTGGAAAGTTCTCTTGAAAAAATCATCACAATTTGACTAAACTACATGGGTATTTATACTTAACTCAGTAAGACATGTCAAAATAGAAAAATAAAAACCTTAAAGATGATGTTAGGAAGTTTAGGAATAACCGGCCTTGAAAGAGGCAATCAACAAAAAGTGCCTTAGTTTGCCAATGAGTTAACATTTAGAGTTAATCTTATGTTTTGAGATATCATTTACATCTAGATGTATCACTAGCGATCACTTGGTTTATAGTATACGATAAGGCACAAAATGGTAAACATAAAATGCACCTTTAGAAATCTAAAGTCGCTACTTTGATTTGATGATAATGCATTAGTGACAATAATATAAAAAGGGTAAAATTGCTCCCAACGGAAGTAATTAATCTACTAATAGAATAGGGAATATGCATACAAAATGATATATCTGCTACATGTGTTATAAAATACACACCCATCAATAATAACAAAGTATCATGTCACGATTATTACTCCAAGCTTATGTTTAAGAAGGTTCAAACAGGCTTATATACCCTTTCATAGTAGCTTTACTTGGTCTGCACTCTTAAATAATATACAGATAAACCTGTGGATATTGAACATTTTTGCCAAAAAAACATTCAATGTTGGTAGGTGTTTACTACAGAGTGTAATATATAAGACAGGTTGCTAAGGCAGGTTTTACTGTACCATTCTTTGATCTTAGCTCTAATCAATCAGACTGTGATCAACACTATTCTAATTCATATTTGCTTGTAACATGTGTTAAATGTTCAATCATTATATCATTTCATAAATCCAAGATGGTACTTTTTCCTAGAAGTTGTTTATATTTATCAAAAAACTACAAAAGTGAGATTATTAAGATCTAATCAACATTAAATTTACAAATCATTTGCAGTAGTCAGAGGGTGGTATAGCTCATAGCTGGTCAATGATAATACAGAGTAAGTTTGTGACTAGACAGTGAAATGGATTAGACTATGAGCCTATTAGCCTGTTTTTAATATACAGCAAAACCCATATACAGTGAACATCTTTGTTTCTTCTATTTATTCCCATAAGTCTATGATTAATGATTCTCTTATGCAGTGAACAGTCACACATACATGAACACAGCAAAATATAGTTCACATTTCCCCTAATAACTTAAAGTAAAATATGTGATATGTTCAACACCATAATTTTCCCCAATAGATTTAAATGAAATATGACAAAAATGCAGCAATTTTGATTCGATTTTTCAAATTCTGAACTGGTTGCTTTGTGCTTAGAAGATCCCTGTGAATACATTATGAAGTCTCGTCACTTCTCAGCATTATCTATATGGGGAGATGTGCGAAACATTTGACCACCAAAAAAAATAGCCAAATGCACAGTTCAAAGAGAACATGGGATACTGCAATAAATAGAGAGGCTCATTTCAGAGCCAATTGTTGTGGCAGTGTGTGAGACTGTAGCAAGACTTAATCTAGACCACACATGCTATGTTCTAGAAGGGCCCAGTACAGCAGCATACAGGCAGAAATCAATAAAGCATCATTCTGGTGTACATTCTTCTAGCATTGCTTCAATACAGCTACTTGTCAAAATCATGAACTACTTATACTTGTCAAAATTAGTCTTGCAGCATGAATCTGGCAATCCCCCTCCCTCAATCTATTCTAATACTTGTAGAGTTGATGGGTATAGATGTCACAATGACTTGATGCAAGCCAAATAAAATCCTGAGCTTTACAGGGTAATAATAATATGGTGCCTTTTGAAAACAATTTACTACAATCCCAGCCCTCAATTTTCTCTGCCAACAAACAAACAAACACTCAAATATAGAAAAGTACAGAACAGAGTATTTTTACATGCTGATCTCCAGTTATATGTACAATTCTAATTTTCAAAATTTTAGCAAAAAAATACAACTTATTTTCATGTTTTCATTTCCAAATGATACCAAACGGGTTTCCAGGAAGTTTCAGAATATCAGATGAATACAGCACATACTTGGTTCAATGTTAGAGGATCAGTGCATCTTGCAATAGAGGTCATACCTCAGAAACAAGGGTAAACAGTCAAGTACAACACTATACAGGATGTATTCCTTTCTACAGCATTAAGGTGCTAAGTATAAAATGAACTTTGATTTTTTGACCCAATCAAAAGCAATGCCATTCATTTAACATTAAATTTAATGTGCTTTGATATTTGCACTAGAATGCATTAAGCAGCAAATATCAAACATATTCAAGAGATGAAAGGATTACAAAAAGATCCTATTCACCAGGAAAAAAATAGTCTCTGGACCCCGTAAAACCCCCTCCCTACCCCATATATATCCTTATGTGGCGGTGAGGCTAAAAGAAAGACGATTATATCATATTTGTATATTACAAGAACATCTTGTATCTTAAAGTAGTCTATTCTTATACTCTCTACTGCTGCTCAGGAACTATGTTTGCTATTTTCTCTATTGGGGGGCCAGTTCACGTACCAAATATAGCAGTAATAAAAAGTGTGTATTTTTACTGATTCTATGTTAAAGGGCCTTACGACCCCATTTCTGATGGTGATGATATTTTACTGCATGTACTTACCTTACAAATAAGCTGCTATCCAAATTCTTAATCCGAAATATACATCCAATAAAACTGCTAATGAATCTAATAATGTAGTACTGTCTTCGTGATGTGCCCCTCCCACTAACAGACAGTACACCTCATGAATGATGATTTTTGATAATGTACCCCAGCATAGTATACCAAGCTAGTAAGCAACGCATACAAAGTCCATGTTAAACCACTTCAATGGCATGTAACATGTAACACTTAGCTGATGGATTACTACATGTACATGTACTATATCTGTACTTATATTAATGAAATGAAATGCAGCCTTATAATTGGCCAGCAGTAGACTCACATTTATCGACTATTCAGTTCAATATACTTGGCACAGACTCACAAATGTCAAACAGTTGTGTTTTAGCAAAAAATGAACTGCTGCAAATTGAAGTCAATTTTTAGATGTACTGCTACATAAGGCTATTCCTAAATGTGTTTACTACCTTTCATAATAGCTCATATGCTACGATTTGCTGAGAATATGAAAACAATATTTAGACATGGTAAGGGGAACCTATATTACTTGTGAATCTATATTGATTTTTATATAACACTACATGGATCCAGCATATACCCTGTCCATAATTATTAATTTCAGTCGACAAACAGAGTCAAAAATGTTAATTGTTGATCACCAGCCCCCTCCCCCTGGCTATGGGCCTATGTTGTATACAAGTTGAAAGAAAGTATAAGTGAAAATGAACAGGGGCTTGATGCAAGACTCTAAGACTAGCATTCTCTAGCACAGACAGTAAGATCTTGGGGAGGCTGATATTAAAGGCAGCATCAGATCTAGCAAGTGGCATTCAGCATCATCTCCATCATGATTTTGACAAAAATTGTTTCAATTTTAGATTATAAAATATCTATCATTTACTAGTTAATGACATGACCTTGAAGGTGAAGTGAATTACACCTCTTTTGACATTCTTCAAATAGTTTACGATGCAAATAATATACATTTACTAAATATCAATATCTAGGTCAATATCAAATCACCAAGGCATGGGGTAAGTTCCAATTTACAATTTAAGCACAGGACAAGTATTACATCTCAAAAGCACAGGACAAATACCACATCACAAAAGCATAGGACAAGTACCACATCACAAAACCACAGGACAAGTACCACATCTCAAAAGCACAGGACAAGTACCACATCTCAAAAGCACAGGACAAGTACCACATCACAAAAGCACAGGACAAGTACCACATCTCAAAAGCACAGGACAAGTACCATATCACAAAAGCACAGGACAGGTACCACATCTCAAAAGCACAGGACAGGCACCACATCACAAAAGCACAGGACAGGTACCACATCACAAAAGCACAGGACAGGTACCACATCACAAAAGCACAGGACAGGTACCACATCTCAAAAGCACATGACAAAGTACCACATCTCAAAAGCACAGGACAAGTACCACATCTCAAAAGCACAGGACAAGTACCACATCACAAAAGCACAGGACAGGTACCACATCTCAAAAGCACAGGACAAGTACCACATCTCAAAAGCACAGGACAAGTACCACATCTCAAAAGCACAGGACAAGTACCACATCTCAAAAGCCCAGGACAAGTACCACATCACAAAAGCACAGGACAGGTACCACATCTCAAAAACACAGGACAAGTACCACATCTCAAAAGCCCAGGACAAGTACCACATCACAAAAGCACAGAACAGGTACCACATCTCAAAAGCACAGGACAAGTACCACATTTCAAAAGCACAGGACAAGTACCACATCTCAAAAGCACAGGACAAGTACCACATCACAAAAGCACAGGACAAGTACCACATCTCAAAAGCACAGGACAAGTACCACATCACAAAAGCACAGGACAGGTACCACATCTCAAAAGCACAGGACAAGTACCACATCTCAAAAGCACAGGACAAGTACCACATCTCAAAAGCACAGGACAAGTACACAAAAGCACAGGACAATTACCACATCTCAAAAGCACAGAACAAGTACCAAATCACAAAATTACAGGGCAAATACCAAATCACCAATACCAAATCATAATGGTAAGGGAACCTGAAGATGATGTGTACATGAACCAACCAATACATATGAAGACTAGTTTATGGTCAAACTTTTAATGCATATTATAATCTATGGCAAGAAGGTGACAGAATATCACATATAAGATGACTATCTACATGACTGATATTTACTTCATAAAAAAAACTATTTATTTCTATTCTTAAATCTGTTCTTCAGTTTGGTTATAATAAAATCACAAATACTGTTTTCTTCTACATACAAATATATAATATTTCAAATTTAAAGGTTGTGTATAGAGGAAAACTGTTTTTTATTTATTTAATATTTCAAATTTAAAGGTTGTGTATAGAAGAAAACTGTTTTTTATTTATTTCTACTTTCAATGAAAACAAAAATAAGTGACCCTCTGTTCAACTTGTTCAATTTGAATTGATGTCATAATCTAGAATATACTTCTATGATCATATTTCAGTATTTTACATGAAGCAATGTTGAGTAGTGATGCAACTATGATAAAAGTTGCAACACTCTTTATATTTACACCACCTACTCTGGCAGCAAATTTGGACTATTTTCCACCACTTTTGAAAAAATAAAGGTGGAGAACACTTTCTACACAATCAAAGCAAGATAACCAAATATATAAGTATACTCTCTACTGTACAGAAGTAAGCATAACTCCTCAGTTCCCTGCCAAATGGGAGTTCCACAGTCCTACAGCACTAACCTACACAAAATGTGACATAATAGTCAAGTTTATAAATCACTATAATCTAAAGAATGAAAAATTCTTTGGGGAATGTTTGATCGATACATATTCACAAGCAAATATTAGATTTTACAAAATTCAGAAGTTTTGCCAATACTATTTTCTAATCGGCAAGGGATACAAGCAAACAGATGCTGACTATTTTTGGCTGCCTGTTTCTTGCAAGCCAATACATTTGACCTTTAACATACATCTTTTAACTGAAGTTATGTTATACTGTATCTAATATTATACATACCATACATGAACAACCAAAACAAAAAACATTTACATGGAGTACAGGTTACAAAAACAATTACCTTAAACCAAGAATATGACAAACATTGTTAAAATCAAAACCGTTGCCTTATTCATACTATGTTCCTGCAAAAACATAAATCAATCAAAATGGAAAATCTGATAATTTTGAAAATCTGAAGTCATATCTTTTGGTTAAGTCAGGCTGTCCCTTGTGACAGTGAATGACAACTAGGATTTCACTAGGCAAAGGATGATCATTGATAGGAATTGTTATGTCAGATCTCCAGAACCCAAGTTCTCTCTATCTTAGTCCAAAAAACTAACAAGTCCACCATGGCACCATATGAACTGAATGTACGAATGGTGGTCAAACCAAATATGACATGAAACACAACCTGAACTATGACGGAGTGATCATTATTATAGCATAAGTACATTCTATGAACATGACATGAAATTATCAAAAATTCACTCATTTCAAAATTGTACTAATATACTTAAAGGGACAATATCGGAAATCGGGAATAATTCCTTAGAAAAACTTCAAAATAAATCGTTGGTGCCTCAAACCTGCCCCTAAGAATGGCTACGACGTGAACTTACTTTTGTCAAAATACCGGAGCCTGAAAAAAATCACTCACCTAGATATCAACGAAAGAAGTGTCAGTTTCGTTCGACTGCGAGAGCAAAATTGAAGCTGAGCTAAACGGTTTTCGTTTGTCGTAAAATTGACCTCATTTAACTGCGCCATCTGGCGAATGAATCATTGTTTCGTGTCATGTGATTCGTTGTTTTGTGTCACGTGACCTACCTTTAGACCTATTGCCACCTATCGTAAGTTAATCGAATTAAAATGAAATTTTTCGATCCAAGAAGAAAATTTGCACAAAAATTATAAACCCCGCTTGACATAATCTTTGTCACTCTATCGTCTTCTTGATGAGGCACATCGGAACTTGGGATTAATAGCCATTCAACCAAGCCACAGAAAGTATGTATATTAGTTGTTCAACATGTTCAATTGTGTTAATATTTCCCGGAACTCGGCCTTTAAATGCATGCACATGATTATACACATAAACGTGAACCAGCTTCAGTAGATACATTTTAGAAATCCAGGATGTAGACATGGATCTTTATACATTCAATGACACATAAGTATACATGACTACATTTATTAGATTTTTCCATTGTGTGCAGTTCTACATACAATTTAAATGATGTCATTAGAGACATATAGAATTAATATCCCACATCATACGTGTCATCTTGCTATATCAGCTAGCCATCCAACCTACATAGATGGTTGTCATGTCAACAATGTGACGACTACATGATGCAATGCAAGGGGACATAGCCTTGGGAACAATGATTATAAATTATAGTAAACATACTAAAATGTGAAAGATCACTGTAACTTGGGAAGAATTTCACAATTTACAACTGTCACAATTTATACTTCCTGTAATGTACGTGTACATGTATGGGGATGGGGTTAAGAAGGAGAGGAGGAGATGTAAAAATTGAGGACTGTCTTGGAGTATGGCTCGTCTTGTACATATTCAGTTTTGTCAAATCAATTATAATCACTGCCACTGCTTAGAGCTTGAATAATGTTACTCACTCACCCACAAGAATGAAACTATACATTGCTTGAATAAAACTTCTCACTCTCCCACAAGAATGAAACTTTAGATTGTTTTATACTCCTCACTCTCCCACGGGAATGAAACTTTAGATTGCTTGAATAAAACTCCTCACTCTCCCACAAGAATGAAACTATTGACTGCTTGAATAATACTTCTCACTCTCCCACAAGAATGAAACTTTAGATTGTTTGAATAATACTCCTCACTCTCCCAAGGGAATGAAACTTTAGATTGCTTGAATAAAACTCCTCACTCTCCCACAAGAATGAAACTAACGCCAGTTGGTAAAATATGTGTAATAAAGTCCTTAATTCAGTCCCAACTTTCATACGTTTTGACAACAGTTCCAATACCACAAGACAACACATTAAAAGACCTAGAAGATCTCCTCTACAACTTTATATGGTCAAATAAAAATGACAAAATTGCAAGAGCAACGCTTAGGAGAACAACAGAAGAAGGAGGACTAGATATGACACACCTTGAATCGTATGCAAAAAACCTAAAGCTAAAATGGCTGCGTAAACTAAAAGATGAAGATTGCAACAGTAAGTGGAAAAGAATCTGGATGAGCAAACTAGACAAAAACAGAGACAATAACATTTTAGAGTATAACATTGAAAACCCTTACAAGTCTGATGTAATTACAACTAATTTGAAAAGCTTGGATGAAGTTCTTAAAATATGGCATGAGGTAAAATTAGGGCTGCCATCGAACTCAAATGTCAGTGTCGACAGTCGAACTCTGCTGTCGAAAATATTGTCGACAATCGAACTTTCCAGGGAGAAAAAATCATCGGGAAAAAAAGAAAAATTATTTCTGTGTTGTTGGTTCGTTTTTTCCAAATCTTTCAACACAAATATCATACAAATGTTAATATGTTTTCATATAACTTATATTCATATTGGTATGTAATTGCCTAATATTGTTACTAAATGCCAAGTTAATAGAATATTATAGACGAAAATGGGACAAATACCTGCAATGTTTCGACCGGGATTTATTTCGACTGCTCGGGCGAAATCTCGTACAACGTCTCGCAAGAGAGAAGAGAAGTCATGAAGGGAACTTCCGGGTGAATTTATTTTTTGAAAATGAAATGAATGTGAACAATATTTCCGCAGAATACGCGCACATAACACGTTGAAATGTGTATTGAAATGTATTGGGGCCATTTGGATATTTTCAAGTAAGTATTGATATCGTTTGCTGTCGACATGACGGGAATTTTTGTCGACTTCGTTGTCGAACTTGCATTTTGACTGACAAGTCGACGTTCCGACTAATGATGGCAGCCCTAGGTAAAATATATAAAAGAACAGGATATTGACAACCCCTCCAATGAAATCATATGGAACAATGAATGTATAAAGCAAAACAAAAACCCGCTTCAAAATAAAGAATGGGAAAGGAAAGGTATAACAAGAATTAAACACTTATACCAAAATGGTCACTTAAAAAGTTATGATCAACTAAGAAATCAATATAATTTACAAAACCAGACCTTTCTCAACTACCACACTGTTATAAGATGCATACCACCAAGGTGGAAAACCCTAATGGCAAACACCAACTTACAAGATGACGAAGATAATATTGAGAGATTAAAAACATGGGACAATAAAAAAACGTACCAAAAGCTCAGCAAAAAGTTCAAGCAAAAGACCCCTACAGGTCAAACCAAATGGAGAGACTACTTTCAAAAAGACATAGAATGGAAAAAAATATATAATCTAATAAACAAACTGACAAAAGATACGAAAATGAAATATTTTCAATATAGGATCAGAGGTGGCGTTAACGCAATTTTTTACGTTTTTTACTCACATTTTTGCAACTCTGACGCAAATATTCATTGTCTACCGAGTCTTTCTGACGCACGTTTGTTTCACATGCAAAATCCCCGCTTATTGATAGCCAGTCACATTCCAAATCCAGTCACAGTCCAAATCTACTTTCGGTTTCATTTTATCAGCTATAATTACAAGATTCTACCGTATTCAATTTAAATGATGCCCAGTATTGTGGTCGGACTTATATTGCCGTTTTAGACTTTGGAATGATTGCAAAAATGTTGAATTTCAACATGAAACGCTTTGACCCCAATTTGTGTAACTCCACACAGGGAGAAACTCCTCTCCCACTCCATTCACACCCATGACTCGCTGGACCAGATAATCAGATGATTATAGTGACATTTTTCTTGCAATTGCCTAATTAATTAATTGTTAGTTGTTAATGTGCTATAAGAGTACAATAAAAGGTATGCACAAAATCAAAAAATAGATTTTGTATGTGGTTTCTACATTTTGTATGCATTTTTACTCAAGAAAAACACTTTTATAGCTTTGACTCAACT